CAAACTCAAACATGCGTCCATTATCGTGTCCTCGTTATTCAAGATCTGTATTAGCAGAAGGATTAAATTGATAAAAAAAACTACAATCAACGTGGAAAGGTGGAAATATTCTTCACTAATACTTTATTGAATTTACCTTATCAGAAATTGGTAATTACGAAACCACTTTAAAAAAATTTAACATCCCCACAAACGTCTTCCCGCCGCAAAGGTGTTAACTGACTGTATAAAAGTCCAGATTTTAAAGACAGTTAACCCCTTTGCCGCGGGAAGATGCCCTATAAACTATTGCTGTAAGTGTTATGGGAGGACGGCTCACCTATTAGACAGAGTGAGTGAGTGAGTATGGTTTTACGCCGCTTTTAGCAATATTCCAGCAATATCACGGCGGGGGACACCAGAAATGGGCTTCTCACATTGTACCCATGTCGGGAATTGAACCCGGGTCTTCGGCGTGACGAGCGAGCGCTTTAACCACTAGGCTACCCGATCGCCCCCCTTTTAGACTTTTTGGCTTTGGTGAATCTTTATGGATCAAAATATGAAATAATTGTTATAGCTACCCTAATGAATGCAGCAATACGATTTCTATATCATACTCAACAACAAAAAAATACTGTGATTAAGTTCGTAATCATATTGTGATTTTGTAGAAAGATATTACATAGTACTGTATTCTGTTTTTTATTTGGCGTAAGGTTGGCGACGTCGGCTTTCTAAAGATGTTTAAAACATTTTATTTCCAACCTATTGAATTTCAAATTTCCCAAGCAATGTGTGCGTCCTGGTATTACGTGTGTTCGAGTTATAATTATAATTATGTCATGTCTGGCCATGAATTCATTTGAGTTTTTTCTTAATTTGAAGTTTGGCATTTTTAGGCCCTAATATAGTCACAAAAACGGCTTCAAGCAGGACTGGTGTATCCTGATTAGGAGCTAATAGGGAACACAGTTGAACGAGTGAGTGAGTGAGTTGGGTTTAACGCCGCTTTTAACAGTATTCCCGTTATATCGCGGCGTGTCAGCTTAATGTGAGAGGAAAGCCCGAAGTGATGCAGGTCTCAGACGTTTACCACTTCGGTGGAACCCACGAGCACGGGTATGGTGCTGACAAACCTAGAAACATAATCGGAGCGAACCGGGATTCGAACCCACAATCATAGGTTACTGGCGTGCCGAAGGGACGCAACTCTGGAGAGCGAATCGCGGCGCCTTAGACGACTGGGGCAGTTGGAAGAATATTCGATGTCTAAAGCCATATCATCATTGCTGTTATACATTTTGTGGTGTCAATACGTTTGATAATGAACCTCTTTTTTCAAGCCCTTTAGTATAATTTTTAACCATCCAAGGCTTCATTTTTTATATTTCAAATTCAGATTCAAAATGTCTTTACTATGCGCGAAACAAGGTTAACTAGAGTTTGTTTTTCGTGAGAGTGAGGTGAACGCCACTCTCTGCAGTATCATGGTGGGCCAGTTTAATGTAAGACAAAGACCCTGACACGTCCTTCACGTATACAGCTCTGATGATGAGGAAACAAAATTGGACGAATCTGAGAACCCACAACTAGATGATTTCTTCAGTCTACGCTGCCAGTAATTGGTAATTAATGGAGAAATCACTCGAATCTGTTGATTCCAGGCGAATCAAGGAGCCCCGGAATGGCGAATTGATTCTACTTCCGGAATCAAAGAGATTGGACTGATTTCTCTGATTTTTAACAATGCTATGATTGATATAGAATTTATCTATAATTTTGCATGACGGCTTTTGCTGCGTCAGTTTTACATTTTAGAAATACACTTTCAGAATGGCCATGGAATTCCAGAATCAACTGCAAACCCAATAGCCTGACGTCATCATAATGGTGAAGATAAAAGCACTTAAACCCTTTCCATATTCAATAGAAATCTCTGCTAAAAGCAGAGTCCGATTATATCATGAACATGTGTTTGAATCACTATCGAATAGTGATGATATCAGGTGTTCGCGAGCGGTGAGCGTATAGTAAGCTATCAGCCCCCAAATTCAGACTTTTATCAAATTAAATAACGGCCAGCGTCGGCGTTTGAAACCTTTATCGACCCGTGTTGATCTATTTGATGACAAAATCACTCGGGTGACACTCTCTGTATATATTCAGTCTTCACTGTTTAGCCTTTGAGCCACAACCAGCGTGTGTCAATCGTTCAAGAAGATTTTTGTTTGTTTGTTGTTTAACGCCGCACTGACCACTATTCCAGCTATATGACGGCGGTCTGTAAATAATCGAGTCTGGACCAGACAATCCAGTGATTGACATCATGAGCATCGATCTAAGCAATTGGGATACGATGACATGTATCAACCAAGTCAGCAAGCCTGACCACCAGATCCCGTTAGTCGCCTCGTACGACAAGCATAGGCGCATTTTACGGCAAGCATGGGTTCCTAAAGACCTATTCTACCCCGGATCTTCACGGGTCTCGTTCAATAAGAACAGTATCTGCTGGTTTAACTGAAACGCAGCAAGGTATCGTCGTTATGATATTGAGATAACAATTAGTCAGTTTGACAGATCCTTCAACCAATATCTGTAATCCCTGCCAAGATTCGTGCAGTCAGGGGATTATCCTTATCCGATGATGATCAATAATGAACTGTGACAATGTTGGAAACAAATAGCCAGCGAGACACGCGACATCGATAGCAGATAGCAAACACGTAGTCGAGATAAGATCAGACAATGTCTTCGTCGTTAGCCATCATTCACTGGACGCACGGCGGTTCATTGGTCTGCATGTAAAGCATTTCGCTGTCAGGAGTAGCGTTCCTTGATCATGTCAGGATACGCTGACTGTTCTTTCGAATGACAGATTTGCCCTTATTATGATTATTGCTTTGAATGATTAGTGGTCTTCACGCCTGGGACCCACATCACTTCGGGCTGTCCCCCAATATGAAGCAGATAGGCAATTATATAACTGAGTACTGTTCAAAGCGTCGATACTTCGTGGACGTATTCGGGGGCACGGGTGGCCCAGTCATCTAAGGCGCCGCCATTCGCTCTCCAGAGTTGCGTCCCTTCGGCACGCCAGAAACCTATGATTGTGCGTTCGAATCCCGGTTCGCCCCGATTATGTTTCTAGGTTTGTCAGCACCATACCCGTGCTCTTGGGTTTCACCGAAGTGGTAAAACGTCTGACACCTGCATCACTTGGGACTTTCCTCCCACATTAAGCTAACACCGCGATATAACTGGAATACTCACTCACTCACTCACTCGTGGATGTATTCAGATAAATAATTACAACCCAAGATATATGGAAATATGAACGGTCTTTTTTTGCGAGACATTCGTGTTTCCTGTAGGTTTTGTGCCTTGCATATTGTCATCAGAAAGATTCTGACTCCACATCTTGTCTTTTTCAATTGTTTATGACCGCCAAGCATGTGCTCTCCGATCCTCTGGTGGAACTCTACTGTATCAGCCTCTGTCTACTTCTGCTATGTCTGACCGTGCCTTCTCCTTTTGCAGTCCACAGTTATGGAACGCTTTGCCTTTGAATCTGAGAAACTCTGCTTCTAAGGAAACATATAAGTCTCTCCTCAAAACCCACTTCTTCACCTCAGCTTTTCAATAGATCTCCTGATTGTTGGCATATGTACATAGACATTACTTTTTAACCTTGTCTCAGCGCCAGTGAGCAACTGTCGATGGATATTAGGCGCTTTACAAATCAATTATTATTATTATGTTTCATCTAATACCAAAAGCACGGGTACTCATGTATTGATAGTTACTAATATCGTGACGTCACGTTATTCCAAAGCTCCGCACAGCGTTTCACGCGTACATAAATAAACTTCGGAGGATTAAATTTGCACGGTTAAAAAGTATCATAGCTGATTTCTATTGACACAGTAGGATTTGTTCACCCTGACATGGGAAGGTAGTTGATGTAAAATATGAGCCACATCCCAATAGGTTACCCACCTAGAGTAAAGTTGGTTGTTGTTGGTTGTGTGTTGTTTAACGCCGCACACAGCTATATGACGGCGGTCTGTAAAAAAAAAAAAAAAAAGAAAAATCGGGGCGGTCGGGTAGCCTAGTGGTTAAAGCGTTCGCTCGTCACGCCGAAGACCCGGGTTCGATTCCCGACATGGGCAAAATGTGTGAAGCCCATTTCTGGTGTCCCCCGCCGTGATATTGCTGGAATATTGCTAAAAGCGGCGTAAAACCATACTCACTCACTCACTGTAAAAAATCGACTCTGAACCAGACAATCCAGCGATTGACATCATGAGAATCGATCCACGCAATGGGGATACGATGACATGCATCAACCAAGTCGCCGAGCCTGACCCTCCGATCCCCTCTGCGCCTCTTACGACAAGCATAGTCGCCTTTTACGGCAAGCATAGGGTACTGAAGACCTATTCTTGTAAAACAGACATCAATCAATCCTCAATTGAATGTAATCATCAGTATTTTCCTAACAACATAACTCGTTCATATTCTTCTCAATTCATGTGGGCGGTCGGGTAGCCTAGTGGTTAAAACGTTCGCTCGTCATGCCGAAGACCCGGGTTCGATTCCCGATTTGGGTACAATGTGTGAAGCCCATTTCTGGTGTCCCCGGCCGTGATATTGCTGGAATATTGCTAAAAGCTGTGTAAAACCATACTCACTCACTCACTGACTCTCAATTCATGTTCGTGTCTACTATATTACATATATAAACGACCCGTTATGATCGGAGTTAGAATAGGTCTTCAGCAACTCATGCTTGTCGTAAGAGGCAACTAACGGGATCGGGTGATCAGGCTCGCTGTTGCCGCATGTCATCGTATCCTGTTTGCGTAGATCGATGCTCATGATCTCAATCACTGGATTGTCTGGTCCAGACTTGATTATGGAATAATACTAATCGCGGCGTTAAACATCAAACAAACAAACAAACAAACAAACACTGTTACCTACAAACAATCGAACGCATATATTCCATGTTTCAGGCACAGCAGATCCAGCGTATATTCAGGCCGTGTCCGTGGGCTTCCGGCGAAGCCAGTCAAGTCTGTCAACCCGCTCCGACATCCGGATTAAATCAGCTCTCAGCATTGCTGGGTATGAGCTGTGCGGAGACAACCTCAAGAAGCGACAGGAAGTGATGTCACGCGTCTCAAGCGATGACTGTATCCATTCCCGGAGGGAGAAGGCACAGATGATGGAAGAGCTGATATTTCTTTATGGCCTGCACGCGTATGACAACGTATGTATGTCACTTGTGACCTACGACCGCCTCCGTGGAGCGGAAAGTCCGGGGTTCGATCCCCAGCCGCGCCATACCGAAAGACGTTAAAAGATGGTACTTGTTGTTACCCTGTCTGGCGCTCGGCATTAAGGGACTAAAACAAGGACTGGTTGGCTCGGAGTCAGTATGCTGTGTCTGAGTGGGGTATTCATGTTTAACTGCGGCATGGTATCGGTATCAGTCCGGACTACTAGTACAAGAAGCCACACACACACACATACACGTGCATGCACGTCGCAATAATATTAGTGCAATAATTTTGGACGCGACGTTAAACCCCATTTCACCACATTTCACCTCACTTGTTACCTACCCGTGAAGATCCGGGTTAGAATAGGTCCCAGCAACCCACGCTTGTCGTAAGAGGCGACTAACGGGATCGGGGTGGTCGGGCTGGCTGACTTGGTTGATGCATGTCATCGTATTCCAATTGCGTGGAGCGATGCGCATGGTGTCAATCACTGGATTTTCTGGTCCAGACTCGATTATTTACAGACCGCCGTCATATAGCTGGAATACGGCGTTAAACATCAAACAAAAAAACACTTGTTATTTGTAGGGCGAATCTCAAACTGGTTTGTGTTAACCAATTTTGGAAACGTATTATCAATGGGGTGAGTGAGTATGTTTTTACGCCGCTTTTAGCAATATTCCAGCAATATCACGGCGGGGGACACCAGAAATGGACTTCACACATTGTACCCATATCGGGAATCGAACCCGGGTCTTCGGCGTGACGAGCGAACGCTTTAACCACTAGGCTACCCGACCGCCCCGAATTATCAATGGAAACACATAGGTCAAACATAAAGAAACCGTTTCGTTGGAGGTGTCTTTCAGCAGTAATTGTTTTAAACTCGATATTATCCTCGTGCTTGGGAGCATGGATGGGGCAGTCGCCATAATTCACTATGATTGCGGGTTCGAATCCCGGTTCGCCCCGATTATGTTTCTAGGTTTGTCAGCACCATACCCTGCTCGTGGCTTTCACCGAAGTGGTAAACGTCTGAGACCTGCATCACTTCGGGCTTTCCTCCCACATTAAGCTGACACGTCGTGATATTATTGGAATACTGTTATAAAAGCGGCGTTAAACCCTCTTCACTCACTCACTCACTATTCAAATGATTCACTTGACTGGGATCATTAACGCTGCTGAAGAGTACAGACAAACACATTGGGACGAATACGATGCTTGGACCCGCCCTGATAAATGAGACGACTGTTCCCTCTTGTACGTTCACCCCTCATTAGTCGCATTTAGGCTGTTCCACCAATTAGTTAAAAAGGGAAAGATGTATCTTTGAACAGAACTTTAGTCATATCATGGCGTGTTAGCTTCATGTTGGAGGTGAGCGGATCGTAGGCATTTAGCACTTCTGTGCCAGGGAAGTGACGACAGGCGCAGGTAGAGCTGGGAATACAAGGTGGTGAAACATGGGGTTTACGCCTCCTAAAGATTATTGCGCGCGTTTATGTTTGTTTGTTTGTTTGTTTGTTGTTTAACGCCGGCATCTTCCAGCTATATGACTGCGGTATGTAAATAATCGAGTCTGGACTAGACAATCCAGTGATTAATGTCATGAGCATCGATCCACTCAATTGGGATCGATGACATGCATCAACCAAGTCTGCGAGCCTGACCACCCGATCCCGTTAGTCGCCTCTTACGACAAGCATAGTCGCCTTTTACGGCAAGCATGGTTTGCTGAAGACCTATTCTACCCCGGATCTTCACGGGTAACGTGTATATGTAAAAGCGACGTGCGTGCGTGCGTGCGTGTGAGATTGCGTGTGTGTGTGTGTGTGTGTTTGTCTGTATGCACGTGTGTGTGTGTGTGTGTGTGTGTGTGTGTGTGTGTGTGTGCCTGCGTACGTGCGTGTGTGTGTGTGTCTGCCTGTACTAGTCCCGACTAATGCCGGTTGGTTAGTGCCATCCCACTGAAATACCATATCGCAGTTTAACACAAATAACCCACTCAGACTCAGTATACTCCGATTCAAACAGTCCCCGTTTTGTCCCCTTAAATTCCGAGCGCCAGGCAGGGTAACAACAAGTTCCACCTTTTCACGCCTTTGGTATGACGCAACCGGGAATCAACCACCGACTTTCCGCTCTCCGGGCAGACGCCCTATCCACTAGACCACGGATGCGGTCTCTGTGAATACAACCCACAGCTAGAAGATCCTGGCACGGTAGCACCCCATAATTCCTTTCGACCTCTCGTGACCCCATTAGTGGTAATAACTGAGTAAATTATAAACAGATTTGTTTTAAACGAACTTGTTAACGGTATATTTGATGCTTTTCTACATAAAATGACATTAACCGGTTCATCAAACATGTTGCCATGTTGCATTTGTCTGACTCTGTATTATATATCAGGATAAGCTAGAAGTAAGGTTAAGGAAAGCGGGTTCCCTGTTTATTTGTTTATTCGTTTTTGAGAATTTTCAAGAGGGACCAATACTGAGTTTAAACTGGATTTGGATGCTGTTTTTGTCTCACCTTGACGACAAAAATGTTTTGTTAACATGATTATGACTCTTGTAAATAGTACATTATGTCAAGAAGATCACCTTCCTGAACTATTTTACATATCTCCCAACACGGGGAGTACAGTCGTTTTTCTTTAGAATTGTAAAGCGTCTTCACACAGTAACCCATCTGTCACCACTCGCCCTTTTGCGTAGCCTGCAAGAAGACTCGTCCCCCTATCGATGAATGTTATGTGCGAAAATACGACAAACCAATCCGAATGCGCGTATGATTTCAAGTTCTTCGTCAAAGAATACCTCAGAAATCTTAGATGTCTTGCATCTAAAAATATACCAAAGACACAGTTAGATGTGTTCAATCATACTGTATAATTCCGCATGTCCCGATGTGCTTTAAATTGCATCTGAAATATATATAATATATGGGGAAATGTTAGTGAACCATAACGCAACGAGTTGACAATTGTTTTAGATATGCCCGTTTGCGCTAAGACGGAACCCGGTCGTAAAAATGGCCATGATCTTAAGCGGGCACGAGTCGCTTTTCGGCTTGTCCCGGAATAACACGAGTTGGTCACGCATGCACAGGAACCACGCCTCTGATATTTTACGCACGTTTCTTTCATTTTCGACCAAAACAATTGCGAAAGAAATTATTCTTGTGATTGTTTTTTAAGAATGTTTTCTTTTTTCACTGTTATACATTTTAAACACAATCTATCCTCGTTTCAGTTTAATTTTCCGAGTCACTCATCAATACAGTTACGTCGCACAAGATCCAAAATTGGTGAGTTGAAAGCAGTCACGACAGTAGTATGTTGTTGTTTTTCTGTTGTTTTTCTATAACAATGAATTGCTTAGTATTTCAAAATTAACATAACAATTAAATCGGTAATAAGGTATGTGCCAAATAGGGCTGGGACGGGTAACTCGGGTACCCAGGTCGGGTGGGTACTGAGTAGGACCCGGGTACCCACAGGACTACCCGGACCCGTGGTTAGTCACGTGATATATTGTTTAATGACATAACTTATCTAGAACTCTTTGGTTACACTTAAGTCACTAATGTTCGTATAACTTGATTCAACTTCAGTGTATGAATGACCAGATTGTTTAAAATACGTTTTGCCAGGGCTATGCTAAAAATGTTCCCAATCGGACATTTTGAGATGTACAGTGGGTACCCGGGTAGGGTCGGGTAAAAGCTAGGTGGGTACCCGGGTAGTAAATTTGGACTCGTCCCAGCCCCAGTGCCAAATACACCTCTTGGTCTGTAAGCATTAGGGCGGTCGGGTAGCCGAGTGGTTAAAGCGTTCGCTCGTCACGCCGAAGACCCGGGTTCGATTCCCGACATGGGTACAATGTGTGAAGCCCATTTGTGGTGTCCCCCGCCGTGATATTGCTGGAATATGGCTAAAGGCGGCGTAGAACCGTATTAACTCACTCACTGTAAGCATTAACCTAAAATGACTGTATTGCATTTCCGATCAAGCTTTGTACATCAAAGGGACACTACTCCTGGAACCTTGTTTTACCATGCTGTTACATATCAGTTTGTATTACAGTCATATTTTACCCCACAGGAAACGCATGGGCTTGCGAGAACGAGGCTTTCAGACAAATGTACAATGTAAGTTCAAGATATTTTCAAACATTTCCAACTGTTTTAAGAAACCGGTTACATGTGTATCTGTGAAGATCCGGGGTAGAATAGGTCTTCAGCAACCCATGCTTGCCGTAAAAGGCGACTATGCTTGTCGTGAAAGGCGACTAACGGGATCGGGTGGTCAGGCTCGCTGACTTCACCGATGCATGCCATCGTATCCCAATTGCGTGGATCGATGCTCATGATGCCAATCATTGGATTGTCTGGTCCAGACACGATTAGTTACAGACCGCCGTCATATAGCTGGAATATTGCTGAGTGCGGCGTTAAACTGACATGCCACTTGGTTGTCTGGTTTGTTTTCAGGCTGACGTCACATGGCAGGAGTACTGTTGTGCTGAACAGGCAATAAATACTGATTTTTCTCGCAAATTGTATAAATGGCTGGTGCTACCGGGGGGCAGGACATGCGTATCCTTTATGCAAACACCTGGTGTCAACGCTGATTTTCGTTGGTCCATTCATATAATTTCCATAGCTGTTTGCCCTCTTCGCTAATCGGAACCTTTTTTCGGCAGAACATCTTGGCTGGTTCTCTTGCGTTGACAATTTGTATTTAATATTAGCGTGACCCCGTGAAGATCCGGGGAGGGATTGATCTTCAGCAGCCCATGCTTGTCGTAGGAGGTGGTCAGGCTCGCTGACTTGATGCATGCCATCGTATCCCAATTGCGTAGATCGATGCTCATGATGTCAATCACTGTATTGTCTGGCTAACGACTCGATTGTCAAAAGGACGGCGTCCAACAGCTTTCATTAAACAATAAACACACTTTGGGTGGATGTGCCACCACAATGAACGATTTTTGGATGAGGAACAAGCGTTAGACATCGGTTTTGTCCACTGTTGTTCCAATATCATGGCTTGGTTGGATTGCTGTTTAACGCCGCACTATTCCAGCTATATGACGGAAATAATCGAGTCTGAACCAGACAATCAAGTGATTGACATCATGAGCATTTATCCACCCAATTGGGATCGATGACATGCATCAACCAAGTCAGCGAGCCTGACCACCCGATCCCGTTTATCGCCTCTTACGACAAGCATAGTCGCCTTTCACGGCAAGCATGGGTTGCTGAAGACCTATTCCAACCCGGGTCTTCACGGGTTCACGGGCAGTAGCATGCTAAGTTACCATTGGTGGAATTACACATAGGCCCGCTGACTTGGTTGATGCATGTCATCGTTTCCCAATGGCGTGGATCGATGCTCATGATGTCAATCACTTGAATGTTCTGGTCAAGACTCAATTATTTACTTATAGCGGGAATATTTCTGAATGCGGCGTTAAACAACAAATAAAAATATGACATTGCAAGGATGGCTGTTTTCAGCCTTGTAACGTATATATAAGATTTGTAACGTATTGTTCCGACCCGTGAAGATTCCGGGGTAGAATAGATCTTCAGCAACTCATGCTTGCCATAAATGGTGACTATGCCTGTCGTAAGGGGCGACTAACGGGATCGGGTGGTCAGGCTCGCTGACTTCGTAGATACCTGTCATCGCATTCAAATTGCGTGGATCGATGCTCATGATGTCAATCACTGGATTGTGTCGTCCAGACTCGATTATTTACAAACCGATGTCATTGCTGGAGTATTGCTGACTGCGGCGTTGAACAACAACAAAACAAAAATACTTGATCAAGATGTAAGGAGAAGGTTAAGATCCATGTTGATTTCATGCATGTTCTGGAAGCAGGTGCGCGAACTGAACGCGAACTTTTCAGCGGTCCACTCGTTTTGTTTGCGTGGGGTCTTGCAGATTTTACGTAAACTTCTAAATATTGTCTGATCTTATCTCGACTACGTGTTTGCTATCTGCTATCGATGTCGCGTGTCTCGCTGGCTATTTGTTTCTAGCATTGTCACAGTTCATTATTGATAATCATCGGATAAGGATAATCCCCTGACTGCACGAATCTTGGCAGGGATTACAGATATTGGTTGAAGGATCTGTCAAACTGACTATTGTTATCTCAATATCATAACGACGATACCTTGCTGCGTTTCAGTTAAACCAGCAGATACTGTTCTTATTGAACGAGACCCGTACGAGGCGACTAACGGGATCGGGTGGTCATGCTTGCTGACTTTATTGATACATGTTATCGTATCCCAATTGCGTGGATCGATGCTCATTATGTCAATCACTGGAGTCGATTATTTACAAACCGCCGTCATATAGCTGGAATATTGCTGTGTGCGGTGGTAAACAACAAGTAAACATAGGACCAAAACATTATCGAAAGCGCCGTAATGATTCCGTATAACTAAAATGGATTTGGTTTCGGTGCAAAGCGGGTTCGGATGTGCTTTGGAGCAACCATATCCAGTGTCCTTCTCTTGGCGGTACGGGGGCCCAGTCGTCTAAGGCGCCGCGATTCGCTGTGCAGAGTTGCGTCCCTTGGACACGCCAGAAACCTATGATTGCGGGTTCGAGATGATTATGACTCTTGTAAATAGTACATTATCTCAAGAAGATAACTTTCCTGAAGTATATTTACATATATCCTAATACGGGGAGTACAGTCTTTTTCTCTAGAATTGTAAAGCGTCTTTGCACAGAAGGGGGCACGGGTGGCCCAGTCGTCTAAGGCGCCGCGATTCGCTGTGCAGAGTTGCGTCCCTTGAACCCACCAGAAACCTATGATTGTGGGTTCGAATCCCGGTTCGCCCCGATTATGTTTCTAGGTTTGTCAGCACCATACCCGTGCTCGTGGGTTTCACCGAAGTGGTAAACGTCTGAGACCTGCATCACTTCGGGCTTTCCTCCCACATTAAGCTGACACGCCGTGATGGAATACTGTTAAAAGCGGCGTTAAACCCAACTCACTCACTCACTCACTCCTGGCGGTGCACTGGAAACATATCCCGCAACACGTGGCGTAGCCATTAACTCTTGCAAAAAGGCGAGGCGCCGGCCATCAAAGCCCGTAACCCATAACCTCTGAAATTTGTAACGAAACAGAATTCGGAAGTGGTATAAAAATAAGAGATAAAATTTATCTGAAGTGCGACCACCCAGCAGCACAGAATTAAAATTAACTTTCGCAGTTGAGTACTCTCAACAACATTAATTCTAGGTCAGCGCTTTCACATTATTCTTGGGGTGGTCTTGTCAATGTTTATTAGCTCCAAATGTGTCATGCGTTTTGAGCATGTAGACCCAGCGTCTAACGCTATGTCACTGCATTGTCGTTGTCGTTATTGTTGTCGTTATTATTTTATCATCACCTCTATTATTATTATTATTATTATTATTATTATTATTCATGTTTCCTGTAATAACGCATGATATCGATTCATTGCTATTTCATGGGTTTGGTAACTTTATTATTATTATTATTATTATTATTATTATTATTATTATTGCAGTCATCGTCAAGGTTACCCAGACGCCGGGCTCCCCTTCAGCCGGCCAACTTTCCATCTATCCAAGTCGGGCGTCACCTGCTGAAGTGATGTAGCAGATGGGGCAGTGACGTCATATAGATGTGATAACATCTGTATCACTACGGTAACGGAAGAACAAGTGACACGCGAACTGATGAGACCTTACAGGCAGTGCACTAGTGTTTGCAGGTGCGTCGTAGACGTGGCTGGTGGAGGGTGCTATTGCTACGGACAATATGCGGTCGAGCCCGTTCGTCGGAAGGGATGTGTGGCAAGCTGCACGTTTTGAAGTTCGAGAGATGAATTAAGGGTACCAGCATGAGACAAACGTCAGTTCGACACTTCCGATTCGACTTCGATTCGATTCATTAACTGCGAGAATATTGTAAATTCAAATCATCGATGTGCGACAATGCGGTGGTTGACAGTATGTGAGCGTTCCCACCTCGACGCCACAGTAGCACCGGACAGGGAAGAGTGAGTGAGTGAGTGAGTGATTTGGGTTTTACGTCACTTAGAACAACATTCCAGTTATTTCACATGTCAGCTTAATGTGGGAGGAAATCCCGAAGTGATGCAGGTCTCAGACGTTTACCACTTTGGTAAAAACCACAAGCAAGGTATGGTGCTGACAAACCTAAAACATAATCGGGGCGAAATTGGGATTCGAACCCACGATCATAGGTTCCTGGTGTGACCAAGGGACGGAACTCTGCTCAGCGTCTTAGATGACTAGGCCACACGTGCCCCAAGCTTGATGAGGGAGGAAAACCCGAAGTGATGCAGACCTGAGACGTTAACCACATTGGTCAAACCAATTACAGGAACAATTGAAAGTCCCCAAAATATGATCTGTTTTCTCACTGCAACAAGACTGCGTCCAGTATGTGAAGCTGTGTTGACATTTATGAGACATATAGACATATATAACTTACCTCTGCTCGGTTCATCACATTCCGTAACAGACAGGACATTCGACAAGGACTAATACAGAACTACAGTAAACTACGGTTATAACGAACTCAAAGGGACCACCACCTTTAGTTCGTTATAACCGTAGTTCGTTATAAGCATAGATTCAGCAAATAGAGGGGATCAAAACACCTTTCGTTATATCCGTCAGTTCGTTATAAGCGTGTTCGGTATAAACGTGGTTATCTCCATCGCCCATTGTGCATTCATATCATTCATGTTACTAGTAGTACAGGTATTAAACACATATATTTGTCATGATCGTAGTCCATTGAGCTTGCGACCGCCTCCCTTGTCTAATGGATAGAGCGTCTGCCCGGAGAGCGGAAGGTCGGGGTTCGATCCATGGCCGCGTCATACCAAAAGACGTTAAAGGATGGCTGTTGTTACCCTGCCTGCTGCTCGGCATTTGGGGATAAAAGAAGGCCCTGTCATCTCGGAGTCAGTATACTGAGTCTGAGAGGGGTATTCATATAAATCTGCAGCATTGTGTCTCAGTGGGCTAGTACTATTAAACTAGTATCACAAGCAGCTACGTGACGCTAAATAAGTGCAATTATCTTGAAGGCGACGTAAAAACCATTTAATGTCATCTGCACTGACGCAGGATACATTGTTATGGCCATCATATCTTTTTACGTGTCAAATCCCAAGTTGAAACAAAATGTTAACGCGGGAATCTATACGTGAACGAACTTCGTGTGAAACCAACGAAACCCAAGAAGTAATAACAATCAACAAATGTATTACAAAATTAACTAAATTGGCAAATCAAAAGCAAAAGTCAGTGATAATCATATACATTCACCCAGCGGCGACAGTGGTAAAGCTGCCGAGATGGGCCCTAGGCATAGATTCAGGGATGATGAGCGATCCTCACACGAAAGCTGGTCTTGATGTGATGAAATGCGTGAGATATACGTAAATTCGCTCTTGTCCCCTTATATAGTCTAACCAGCTACTGGAAAGTTCCACACAGTGCCCTTACCAGTCCATCGGCTCCAGAACTTCCATATACTAACTTCCTGACGACTGATCACTGTCCAAACACAATGCAATGAGCGTCTATTGAATCTCAACAGAAGCAATAAAACAATAAAATCAATTCCATATAACAATCGACATTGACGGAGTATGTGTACATGCCTTTCGGGCCACGTACTACTTCGAGACAACTAGGTGCAGGTTGACGGAATATACCAGTTTTCAAACATGTCGCACCACAAAATGGAATATCTTAACCGGACTTGTGTGACAAGCAGTTTAGTACGCTTTAGACAGTAATCAGGCTGGGAGAAGTTTAGTTGGGGTTGCATCACTTGTTATATGAACACAGAACGTCAAAGACTTATAGTTAAAATTATACAGTCCCAGGAGTTCATTGACAGAAGTACCAGTACAAAAGTGATGCAGACAGTTTAGATACGAGATTGACAAACATTCGGAAAAGTCTGCAGGGCGGACCGGTCCGATCAGAATAGGTCCCCATGCCGCATGAAATGAGGCATTCGTCACCACTCGCCCCTTTCCGTAACCTGCAAGAAGACTCGTCCCCCTGTCGATGAATGTTATGTGCGAAAATACGACAAACCAATCAGAATGCGCGTATGATTTTAAGTTCTTCGTCAAAGAATCCCTCAGAAATAATTTTTTATTTTACATGTGTCTTTCATCTTAAAATATACCCAAGACACAGTTAAATGTGTTCTATCATACTGTATAATTCCGCACATACTTTACATTGCATCTGAAATATATATAATACATGGGGAAATAATATGTGAGCCATTACGCAACGAGTTGACAATTGTTTTGGGTATGCCCGTTTGCGCTATGACGGAACCCGGTCGCAAAAATGGCCATGAGCGGGGCACGAGTCGCTATTCGGCTTGTCCCGGAATGACACGAGTTGGTCACGAATGGAAATGAGGTTAGGTGAGGTAAGGTGACATGGGCTTTGACGTCGCGTCCAAGATTTTCTTTTATATATATCGACGTGCATGCGCGTGTGTGTGTGGCTGCTTGTACAAATCCGGACTGATGCTGATTTTACAGTGCTAGCCCACTGAGAAATCATGATTACCCCACTCGGACACAGTATACTGACTCGGAGCCGACCAGTCCTTGTTTAAGCCCCTTATTGCCGAGCGCCGAACAGAGTAACAACAAGTACCATCTTTTAACGTATTTTGGTATGACGCGGCCGGGGATCGAACCCCGGAACTTCCGCTCTCCGACCGGACGTTTTACCACTTGACCACGGAGGCTGTCCGCATGGACTGAAGATCGGGGGCATAAATTGTGTGTCATGGTTGATTGTATGTCGTCGTACAAGATGATCCGACTCGTTGCACAAACTGTCAATCAACGATTCGCCTGGCCAAGAGTAGATGATACAGGGGCCGACCCATCTTCCCAAGGCAAGTGAGTTAACTGACTATAAAAGTCAAGTTTCCACCCTTGCCTAAATAGGCTGGTATTAAGGAGTTACATTTTGGCTGGATTAACGAGTCTATGCATAGTCCAATCAATATCGCTCAATAAAATCGAAGTCCGGTTCGTAAACTGTCATGCAGGATTTGCAAAGCATGTGCACCGCCAACTCGGTGTCAACAGACATTTACAAATCTTTTCATGTTTTTTTATCAAGGTGCTCGCGATATAAGATCCGCTTTATCACAATATAGTTCTTGATTATCGATCAGATCGTCTTGACTGGGTGCCGCAATTTTGTTTGAAGCAATTGCAAGTGATACGAGGGGTGGAATCTGATTGGTCCATAGGAGAGGCACAGAAGGGACATAACTCGAAATAGCCACTGGTTGCGCTACGATCGAGCCCAGCAATTCCAGACAAGTTCGGCAAGGGTGGGAACTGTTAAAGTCAGTTAACTCTCTTGCCTCGGGAAGATGGGGCTTTGATCTGGATCTTTGGTTCAGACGGCGCCCCAAGACATACAGCAACGCATTACTCTATGAAGGATTCTTTGTGTAAATTAATTGTCCCGTTCCATCAATCTCCACCATCCGAATACAACAAATGGTTGGCACCTTACTGTCCGACGTGATACGGTCATGATACTGACTACTTACTTGAAGAAAAGTATAAATGACCATGTCCAGTGCCATCCATCTACTATGATAGAGCATATGGATAAGACCTTATACGTATAACCACGTGAAGATGAGGATTAGGATTGATCTTCAGCAACCCATGCTTGTCGTAAGAGAGGATGCTTGTCCTAAGAGGCGACTAACGGGATCGGGTGGTCAGGCTTGCTGACTTGGTTGATGCAAGCATCGTATCCAAATTGCTTAGAGCGATGCTCGTGATGTCAGTCAATTGGTTGTCTGGTCCAGACTCGATTATTTACAGACCGCCGTCATAGAGGTAGAATATCACTGAGTGTGGATTTAACAGCAAAATTAAACGTATAAACCGTTCACAATTTAGACATGTTATCTGTTCGTCAAGGCTTATCCGCCACCTGACCAATCCACTGACCATACAACAATTGTTTCAGCACACGTGCACATATACTGAATAGACAAAGATAAAGATATTCATCATCCCATGTCGTTCAGTATATATACACCAGTGTGTACATGCCACGTGTCTAATTAGATGCACTTGTTTCTGAATTAACTCCATTCTGCGTGCAAACATTCATACATCCCCATCAGCGGAAGTCCAATGGTAAAACTGCGTATTTTTGTTCCCGTTGATACAATCCGCAAATGCAAAACAGTCTTGGGGTAAGCATTCAAACAGAAATCTTCTATGGGATCGGTGTGTTGCAAGTTGACAGTTAGTCATTACAAAAGCAGTCTTTGCATCGTTTCCTTCAGTTCGTCATGATCGTGAGATTAAACAGACGGTTCTTGCAATGAGAACCTTCTTGGAACAATTTGCCCTAATGGTATTCGGATTAACAGACGGGGCTTGAGGTTGGTTCCCTGGGGTTAACCTCTCGTCTCAATATGACAGAAACAATGCCGATGCGAAGTTAGTTTACATAACTAACGTCCGGGCAAACAAACGTGTACTCTTGAAAATTGGAACAAAACGTTTTTTGGTTATTTGTTTGTTATTTAACGCCGCACTCAGCAATGTCCCAGCTATATGACGGCGGTCTGTGAATAATCGAGTCTGGACCAGACAATCAAGTGATTGACATCATGAGCTTGGGTCTACGCAAAATTTGGATACGGTGACATGCGGATACAGCGAGCCTGATCACCGATCCCGTTTAGCCGCCTCCTACAAGCATGGGTTGCCGAAGTCCAATTCCAACCCGGATCTTCCCGGGTCGGGACAAAACGCTACAAATTTTATCTTTTAAAACATATCTTTTATACCAGTTCATCATCAAAAGAATCATTTCTTGTTTGTTTGATTTCTAACCACCATACAAAATGGATGTGTGCTGTCTGAGTAAATGAACAGAATGATTTGTGACTGCCTGTCGTCCGTATTGATACCTATTCTAGCTACTACTTCTGATTAAAATTAGGTAAAGTTGTAATTGTGAACTTGGATGGCGCTCTACAGAATTTTATAATTTAGTTTGGCCGAAGCATAAATGTGTCTATGAGTAAAGTTTAGTAAGAATGCTAGCTTACCA